GATTAAATGTCCGAACTTTTAATGGCACTTTAGTACATTTTTTTAAAAGAGGGCTTTTCAAACTCGACAATTTATGAAAATTTTAAATATAGTTTAACAAATAGTCTTAATTCTAGAAAACTTGGGGCAATTGTGTCATTATTTTTTACTGTGATTCTAGAAATGTTATTTGGCTTTATGGTTCCAAAGTTTAAATGAACAAAAATAATAAAAATTAACCACAATGACCGAATAATGGTTATAGTTTGACCAAATTTCTAAGTTTTTCTTTAATGCCCCTAATTTTCAAACTGCATGGAATAGATTTTTTTCTGATTTTTCTCATGATGGTTACAATCAATTCTCTCACTGCTTGAAATTGAGTTCTGGGACAGCCTGTATAGTATAATCGAAGCCAAATATTTCACCATTACTTTGATTTGCTTTCCATAGCTACAAAGAAAAGTGCTTATCTAGACTTACTACAGATAAAAAGTACTTATCGGGGAAAATAAAGTTGAAAATATGTCACAAATATTTATGTGATACTCCAACATATAGTCGGACAGACAACAATGATTAATTAAATAATATTTTTGTGAAATTATTGACAATCAATAAGTTTTTTGATTACACTAAATATGTAGTAACATTGAGAAAAAATACTTTATTTTGGATTCAATATTATATATTATTAGTATTAGTACGTATAACATTTATTCGTATAAGTAAATAAAATAGTGTAAAAAATGTAAAAAGGGTAACTAAATGATTACATTACTTGAAATAGTAAAAGAATTAAGTTACAGTAATATTTAATTTTTGTATAAATTCATAGACGACTCCACGATTTTACTTTGTTATAATGAGTCAGTCGATTTTTTCTTTGGGTGTAGGGTTGTCACTTCGCCAATCCTAATAGCCGAACAGACCATCCAGTTTGGCGGGACATATTGGTAAAAAGGCCGGCTACCCATTGAGGGTGATACATTATTGAGGGTTTTGTGTCTCAATATCATGTAAATATTATAATTATCATGTAATTATATAATTTTGTAAATTATTATTAATAAGTGTTACTTTAGGTGCGACCCGACAAAATATTAAAAATTTAAATTGACCCGTTGATAAAAAAGGTTGCTCACCCCTGTTCTAGATAAACAGTTATCAACATTTTAAAATTCTTCTTAACGTCTAATGAAAGGTAATTGCATAAATAAGTATTATTTACCTGTACCTGTTACTTCAGCAACTAACGAAATAAAAAAACATCTAAGCAAAACAAAACTTCTTGAGTTAAGAAATAAAAAATAAAATTAGTTTTACAATAAAATAATGTAAAATCCTACCAAACGGCGTACAAGACTATTTATTTTAGTCAGATGCCAAAAAAAGTCCCGACAAAATCAGTGCAACCATTTCAGAGATCAGCCGGAACAAACAGACAGACAGACAGACAAAATTGGTAAAAAATGTTATTTTGGTGTATGTAACGTATTTATATTTATATGCATGTAGTAAAAAACGGTTTTTTCAATATTACCAACAAATACTCCAATTTTATTTATATGTATAGATAATGGGAGTGCCCTATTTTTATTTATAAATAACTACGAAATCAAAATAATGTAAAATTTGTTTATATTTTCTTAACCATTTCTTTACATTAATACTAAAAGTTTTTTATCATTTTTAACAATTAATTGTCACTACTTTACAAATTATTACTTAGTATTACATTCGTAATATGTACAATAAATCATTACTAACTGTATTAACTTAAATACAGTAATTGTTAAATGTAAAATTAGTAACTGTCACCCGCACCATACTATAGCGTACGCAGTATAGTATGACGAAATGATTTACGATTTGATAGCGAGGCGAGCTCTCCGCGCTAAGCACAGGTCCGACGTTGGCAGGGGCCGGGGACTGACTGACTTGGTCTAACTCTCATACAAAACAACTTGTGAGCAAGAGATTTTTTGCGGAAAAACAGTTTATCTTGTTTAAAATAAAAACTATTGATTATTATATACATCTGCATTACACTATTTATGTATGTGTTTAGTATAATGTATATTGAATAATTCGGGTCTTAAATCACTCCCGTTTTCTTATACCAGTCAAAAATATATTTTCTAAGACCAATCTTTGAGATTTTTTTCTCTGCTACAAAAGTTAATCAATCATGTAACGAGAACTGTCAATATGATGTCAAAGATCTGAAAAATGAAATACCTAAATATCAGCCCCGAAGGATTTGTAATTGCTGAGAAAAGTTAAGGTATCTGAGGTCAATATTTGCGATGCGTCGCCTTAAATATTAAATCTCGGTATATCTATAGACTAGCTGGCCCCAGCGACTTCATCCGCGTGAAATTTTATTTTATTTTTCTAAAATAACAGTAGCGTAAGTTACTCCTTATTACATCAGCTACTTGCCAAAAAAAGTCCCGTCAAAATCGGTCCAGCTATTTCAGAGATTAGCCGGAACAAACAAACGGACAGACAAAACTTGTAAAATATGTTATTTTGGTGTATGTACCGTATTTATATTCATATGCAGGTAGTAAAAAACGGTTATTTCAATATTACAAACAGACACTCCAATTTTATTTACATGTATAGATGTATAGATTAAAAAAAAAGTAACAGCATAAGGCTAGTCGTATGCCTAATATATATAATAATGTAATAAATTCATTTAAACAGAAATTGCGGGAACATTATTTAAATTTCTAACTTTTTTACTGTCCTCCTTTTTTCACATCTTTCTGTTATATCCCTATAGTTCTCTCTATATTTTCTGTTTTTCTTACTTTCAATTTGAGACTGTACTTATAATTTGATTATCGGATCATTATGTATTTATTTATACATTTATGGGTTATATATTTATGTATGTATATTGTTATTTTTTTATAGAAATGTATATTTTGCTTATCTTTATTATCTTTATAAATCTTTTTTTGACATTTCTTATTTATATTAGTGCACCGCCAATAATCTTTCGCTGCACCACTCATGGTTGCCTGGTAAATAACGCGGCAAGATATTAAGTCCGCCACATGTACAATTTTTTTTGTGCATTAAAGTTAAATAAATAAAAAAAATACAATACTGTTTAATGAAAATGCGTATTGTCTAGTGCTGTGAGATGTATCAAAATAAGGTCAACAAAAAAGTCCGTGATGGTATATGTCTATCTCTCAAGGATAACCAACAATAACCATTTTTTATCTTTTACATTTTACGGGAATTTTTTTTATCGTATGTTTCCCTTAAAATCATGTAAACTATGCTATTATGTCATAATCTAAAGAAATAATAATATTTTATAGTGAAATATCCACTATAAAATACCAAAAAGTAGCAATGTAATTCGTTACGACTTTTTGGCTCTGAATATATTCCAAAAATCAATTAATTATGTTGATCACTTTATATACTCGTCCTTACTGCGATACTTATTTACATCCGAATATATATAGATACCGTAACGGTCTATCAATTATGAATTTATTAATTTACTAATGTAGATATTTTATATTCGCAATGCTCCATACATGCAAGCTCCAGCAACGGTGGAGGCAGGGTCCCCCCTGCACCGTACACCGCACCCCGCGCACACAAACAAATTAGATATTTTTTGAATACACAAAGACTTTTTGGCTCTGTATATATATTTCAAAAATCAGTTAATTGTGTTGATCACTTTATATACTGGTCCTTACTGCGATACTTATTTTAATCCGAATATATATAGATACCGTAACGGTCTATCAATTATGAATTTACTAATCTACATATTTTATATTCGCAATGCTCCATACATGCAAGCTCCAGCAACGGTGGAGGCAGGGGGAGCACCGTACACCGCACCCCGCGCACATAAACAAATTAGAATAAATTAAATTCATAAGATTATTTATATATTTCGACTGCCTCGGTGGTCACACCGCTTTACATCCGATGGTCGCGGGTTCGATTTCTCGCACGATGCAAACATTTGTACTCATCGGTCATCGATTGTTTTCATCGGTCTGGGTGTTTTATATGTATATTATATATGTATTTACAAAATAAAAATATCTATTTATATCAGTTCAGTATCAGTCTGTGTTAATTGTCCAGGGTTATTTATTATATTTTTATAAACGGTTATCTTTTTCCATCGCACCGCTCGCTATCGACAGTGAATTCATAGAAATGTCACTCTAAAAACAAAAATAGTTTTGTGTTTTGCATTTCAAATACTAAATGCAAAATAGGTATTTTCAAAATACTTTTTAAAAATTAAGTACCTTTTGAATTTTTGTCCAAACCTCAGATATTTTATTTATTTTAGGTATATCAATCATTACATAGTAATATAAAAACAAAGTCGCTGTCGCATCTAACAGTACATAAACAAAGAAAGAAGACTTTGGCTCTGATACCGTAACGGCCTATGAATTATGAATTTATTATACCTAATCTAGATATTTTATATTCGCAATGCTACGTACATTGTAATATCCGCCTCCATTCATTGTAACGGTGGAGGGACTAAATAGTTGAATAAAACTGAATAAGCAGTTGCTCCACTCTATAGGTACTGCGTCGTCGTCGTATGCTGTTCATTTTTTCAGTCGTTTTGGCGCCAAGAGAGGGTCACATAGTCGTGGTCAAGTTAAGAACTTATAATTTAATTTTGATAACAATAGATACAAGTAAAAAGTAGGTATTATATTAATGTACGTAAGTACTGTACTTAAAAATATTTATTCTTTACTGTATGTACATTTGAAAAACTTAACACTTAAGGACTTTGAAATGTAGGTATATGAATTATTGATAAATGACGGTTGTCACCTTTGTATTATAATACTTAGTTTAGTTTGCAATAAATCGGCTATCGGATAACTGCGTTTTATTCAAAGAACATTACATTGGCGACGAGATAAAAATAAAAACAGATATATCTGTTACGGTGTGTAATATTAAAATATTGATATAATTAGAAGTACGAATTCGCCATGGCAATGGGTAAAATAAGTGAATTCGATATACATTCTGGAAATTGGACTTTGTACACGGAACGTTTGGAGATGTATTTCAAAGTGAACGGAATACAACGCGACTTGTGGTTGCCAACATTGATAGCAGTCATGGGCGATGCGGCGTACGAACTATTAAGTAACTTGATCAGCCCACGTAAGCCATCGGAAGGAACATACGAAGCAGTGGTAAATTTATTAAGAAATCATTTGCAACCAAAACGGTCGGTAGTGGCGGAAAGATATTATTTCAGACTACGAAGACAGTTAAAAAGTGAAAGTGTACTACAATATATATCAGAATTAAAAAAACTAACTAAATATTGTGAGTTCGGTGCCATGCTCGAAGAGAGTTTGAGAGATCAGCTCGTTTGTGGACTGACGAGTGATGTAATCCGGCAACGACTTTTTGCGGAGGACGGGCTGGATTACGCGAAGGCAGTTAGAATAGCCTGTGCGTTGGAGGCAGCAGAACGGGATGCGGCCGCGGTGGAGCTGATGGACAGCAGGGTAGGCGCGCCAGCGGGAACCAGTGCCGTAATGGCGATCAAACAAGCTGTGGGGGGTGACCGGAACGGCGGCAGTCAGCGGCAGAATAATTACATACCGGTTCAGAGTGGAAATAATGCTCGGCAATGCTATGCTTGTGGGGGCACAGATCACTGGAAGAGCACATGTCGGTTCAGGAATTACACCTGTGGCCGATGTAAGCAAATAGGCCATCTTAGAAGAATGTGTTCTAAGGGAGCGAAGAGCAAGGGAGGCCAGAATAACCGGGATAGAATTTTCCACGTCCAGGAAGCGCAGACTACCTCGGAGGCGAAGTCGGATAGCAGCAATACGGACTTGGAGGAAGAGATACATCAGTTATGTTTAAATAGTTATAAACCGGTAAGAGTATCTTTGTTAATAGACAATGTTAATATAGAGATGGAGATAGATACCGGTTCGGCTATATCGTGTATCAGTAAACTAACATATGAAAGATATTTCAAAAATCGACCGCTAGAAAAAATAGATTTGTATTTAAAATTCTATGATGGTAGCCGAATAAAACCGGTTGGCGTCATTAGACCGATGGTCCGATATGGGGGAAAAAGTAAAAATTTAGAGTTATTGGTTATCGAAGGGGGTACTACGTCGTTATTAGGTAGACAATGGCTGAGTGACTTAAAAATTAAAATACCATGTTTTATGAAGTCATGCAACAATGTGTCAATATTATCACAAAATAGTAATAGTAATAATAGTAATTTACTATCTGTACTCGACAGATATAAGGAATTATTCGATGGCAAGCTGGGTCGGTTCACGGGGGGCAAGGCGACGCTGCGGCTGCGGGAGGGGGCGGCGCCGGTGTACTACCGCGCGCGACCGCTGCCTTACGCGCTGCGCCCCGCTGTCGACGCGGAGCTAGACTCCATGCTGCGCGAAGGAATCATCAGACCGGTCGACAGCTCGGACTGGGCTACTCCCTTGGTACCCGTGCGTAAGGCGGACGGTGGGCTACGCCTCTGTGCGGATTACAAGGTGACTTTGAATCCAGTACTATTAGTAGACAGATTTCCATTGCCGCGGATAGATGATCTCTTAGTGGGGTTAAACGGGGCTAAGGTATATTCGAAAATTGACTTATCACAGGCCTATAATCAGATTGAGCTAGACGATTCCAAGGAAATTACGGTAATTAACACGCATAGGGGTTTATATGTATATAACAGATTAGTATATGGTCTATCGTCAAGTCCGGGCATTTTCCAGCGTATTATGATGAATCTTTTTAATGATATTCCGAATGTGGAAATATTCTTAGACGATATAATAATAGGTACCCCTGATGAAAAATCACATTTATTCACTTTAAATAAGGTTTTAAATAAGTTACACTCCCACGGACTGAAATTAAAAAAGAGTAAATGCCAATTCATGATGGAGGAAGTAAAATATCTAGGATATGTTATTTCAAAAGACGGGTTTAAGGTAGATCCCGAGAAAATGGAGGCAATTAGAAAACTTCCTCACCCGTCTGATATATCCGAATTACGTTCATTCTTAGGGTTTGTCAATTTTTATTCAAAATTTATTAAAAACATAAGTTCTATTTTAGTTCCCTTATATTGGTTACTAAAAAAAGGGGTCACGTGGGAGTGGACGAAGGAGTGTGAAGCGGCCTTCACAGAAATTAAATCTATTCTTATGAGCGGCAGAGTATTAGCACATTACGATCCCGATAAGCCCTTATATTTAACGTGTGACGCGAGTGCGCGCGGTATAGGCGGAGTGCTCACACAGAGGGACGGCGCGAGCGGGACGGAACGACCGGTAGTGTTTGTATCGCGGGCGCTGTCCGACGCGGAGAAACATTATGCACAAATTGATCGGGAGGCTTTAGCGATCGTATTTTGTTTGCAAAAACTTCATCAGTACGTGTACGGGCGGCGTTTTATACTACGCACCGATCACAAGCCACTCGTTAGTATTTTCGGCCCAAAACATGGTATTCCGGCGATGGCTGCTAGTAGACTGCAACGTTGGGCTATAAAAATCGCGGCGTATTCTTATGAAATTGAGTATGTAAATACCAAAGATAACGCAGCCGATGGATTGTCGAGATTACCCATTCAATCAAAGTTCCCTTCAAGCCTCCCGGAGCAAACATATCTACATTTTGCACATAATGCCTTACTAATGGATCATAGTGAGATAAAATTGCAAACTCAACGGGATTCAATCTTGAGTAGAATATTATGTTATATACGTGATGGCTGGCCATCGGTTAATGAAGTTAGAACAATCCAACCATTTTTCAATCGAAAAACTGAGCTCTATGAGGAGTTAGGCTGTATTATGTGGGGCCATCGAGTGGTGGTGCCCGAATGTTGTAGAAGTGTCGTGTTAGCGGAATTACACGAGCCGCACATGGGTATAGTAAAGACCAAGGCCTTGGCACGAAGTTACGTGTGGTGGCCCGGCATAGATGAAGCGATTGAACAACAATGTCGTATGTGTAATACGTGCGCGGCTGAGGCGGACGCACCACCTCGGCACGCGCCCACTCCGTGGCCGTGGCCAACTCGACCGTGGTCCAGAATACATATGGATTTTTTGGGTCCCATTAATAATAAAATTTACTTAGTAATTGTGGATGCACATACAAAGTGGTTAGAAGTATTTCAAGTTCCCAGTACTGCGGCAGTACATTGTATAGCCAAGTTAAGCGAGTTATTTGCGAGATGGGGTATTCCGAAACAAATAGTCTCTGATAACGGACCTCCGTTTTCAAGTTACGATTTTGAAGCATTCACTAAAAGTTTAGGTATTATTCATTTGCATACGGCTCCGTACCATCCAGCTTCTAATGGAGCCGCAGAAAATGCCGTTCGTACGATTAAAAGAGTGATAAAAAAGGCCTTACGAGACGGGACGGATATAAATTTAAGTATAAATTTTTTTTTACTACACTATAGAAATATCGCACATTGTACTACGGGAGAATGCCCGGCGTCGTTAATGTTAGGTCGTAGATTGCGGACTAAGCTGGATGTCTTGAGACCTAATTTAGAAAACAAGTTATCTCAGGCTCGTCAACGCAAACAGCAGCGAGAAGGGGTTGCGTTGGAAATAGAACGTAAATTAAAACCGGGAGATGAGATATGGTTACGACAATATAGTGGAGCACATAAGTGGCTACCAGGAACAGTGACAGAACGTTTAGGTACAACTGATTATAAGGTTTGTGATACGTCGGGTAGGGAATCACATAGACATATCGATCAATTAAAAAGGAGATCAAGGTCGTCTGTAATTGGTACATCGTCTTTACCATCCGACGAGGGAGCAGCTGGCGACTGGCCTGAGGGTAGTAATGAGAACCCGGGTAGATATTCGGTTGACAAAGAAGATAGGGAGCTTAAAGATACGAATACGATGGATAGAATCGGTGAGCTTGAGAAAGAAGGAAGGGTCCCCTCCCCAGTAGCAGTCGACGAAGAACCCAAAGCTGAAAAATCCTCTAGTCCACCGACCCAGTCTCGCCGTCCTATAAGGCAGTGTCGATTGAATAAACGCCTAATTAATTAAGGCTATTGTAAGGCTACAATACCGTATTCATTGTCATAAATGTAAATAGGTAAGATATAATAATTTGTTATAAATGTATACATATACATATGTGTAATCACTTTGGATTAGAATTAAGTAATTACTGTGCAACTAATTTTGGGTACTTTGTTTTTGTTAATTAGAATAGATATACCTCATACATAATTGTAAGCTTTTAGTTCTAGATTTTTCATCTTCCGTCTTTTGTATTTATGAGGTAAGGGATTAATTGGAAATTAGAAGGGAGGATTGAAATGTAGGTATATGAATTATTGATAAATGACGGTTGTCACCTTTGTATTATAATACTTAGTTTAGTTTGCAATAAATCGGCTATCGGATAACTGCGTTTTATTCAAAGAACATTACAGACTTGTACATATACACGTACATACTGCCATTTTCTCTTAAAGACATCCAGAGAAGCACTATTTATCAAATACGCGGGGTGCACCGACCTTTGACCCTATAACACCTGATTCGCGCGTAACGAATTACATTGCTACTTTTTGGTATTTTATAGTGGATATGTCACTATAAAATATTATTATTTCTTTAGATTATGACATAATAACATAGTTTACATGATTTTAAGGGAAACATACGATAAAAAAAAATCCCGTAAAATGTAAAAGATAAAAAATGGTTATTGTTGGTTATCCTTAAGAGATAGACATATACCATCACGGACTTTTTTGTTGACCTTATTTTGATACATCTCAAAGCACTAGACAACACGCATTTTCATTAAACAGTATTGTATTTTTTTATTTCTTTAACTTTAATGCACAAAAAAATTTGTACATGTGGCGGACTTAATATTTTGCCGCGTTATTTACCAGGCAACCATGAGTGGTGCAGCGAAAGATTATTGGCGGTGCACTAATATAAATAAGAAATGTCAAAAAAAGATTTATAAAGATAATAAAGATAAGCAAAATATACATTTCTATAAAAAAATAACAATATACATACATAAATATATATCTAAGTATAACCCATAAATGTATAAATATTATATATAAGTAAATACATAATGATCCGATAATCAAATTATAAGTACAGTCTCAAATTGAAAGTAAGAAAATCAGAAAATATAGAGAGAGAGAACTATATGGATATAACAGAAAGATGTGAAAAAAGGAGAAGGACAGTAAAAAAGTTACAAATTTAAATAATGTTCCCGCAATTTCTGTTTAAATGAATTTATTACATTATTATATATATTAGGCATACGACTAGCCTTATGACTGTTACTTTTTTTTTAATCTATACACCTATACATGTAAATAAAATTGGAGTGTCTGTTTGTAATATTGAAATAACCGTTTTTTACTACTTGCATATGAATATAAATACGGTACATACACCAAAATAACATATTTTACAAGTTTTGTCTGTCTGTCTGTCTGTTTGTTCCGGCTAATCTCTGAAATAGCTGGACCGATTTTGACGGGACTTTTTTTGGCAAGTAGCTGATGTAATAAGGAGTAACTTACGCTACTGTTATTTTAGAAAAATAAAATAAAATTTCACGCGGACGAAGTCGCTGGGGCCAGCTAGTCTATAGATATACCGAGATTTAATGTTTAAGTTGCTATTATGTTGTTGACAAAATTTTACTGTAATGTTACTATTACGTTATCCTACACAATTTGTATTATTTTGGATGAATAAATAAATAAATAATAATCTATACATCTATACATTTAATAAAAATTGGAGTGTCTGTTTGTAATATAGAAAAAACCGTTTTTTACTACATGCATATGAATATATATAAGGTACATATACCAAAATAACAATTTTTATAATTTTTGTCTGTCTGTCTGTCGGTCTGTTTGTTCCGGCTAATCTCTGAAATGGCTGGACCGATTTTGACGGTACTTTTTTTGGCAGGTAGCTGATTTATAAGGAGTAACTTAGGCTACTTTTATTTTAGAAAAATAAAGTTAATTCCACGCGGTCGAAGTCGCGGGAACAGCTTGTTTTTAATAAAAACTGTTTATTTGATAAAAAAACATCTTTTTTGTGGTACTTGAGAATGTTGAAGCCTGTTGTTTGTAATATTGAAATAACCGTTTTTTACTACTTGCATATGAATATAAATACGGTACATACACCAAAATAACATATTTTACAATTTTTGTCTGTCTGTCTGTTTGTTCCGGCTAATCTCTGAAATGGCTGGACCGATTTTGACGGGACTTTTTTTGGCAGGTAGCTGATGTAATAAGGAGTAACTTAGGCTACTTTTATTTTAGAAAAATAAAGTTAAAAACCACGTGGACGAAGTCGCGGGAACAGCTAGTGTATAATATATTAGAGATACCTACGTGTTTTTTATTGATGACTAGCTGTACACGGGATTTCGTCCGTGTTGAATTTAACTTTATTTTTCTAAAATATAAGAAGTTAAATTCCACGCGGACGAAGTCGGGTGTACAGCTAGTTGTCGGTAGTCTAGCGATTTAGCTAGCACACTGCTTTGATTCCTGCTTGGTGGTCGAGGGTTCGATTCCTCGCACGCTGCAAACATTTGTATTCATGAGTATGATTGTTTGTAACGGTCTGGGTGTTTTCTATGTATAGATAATATATATGTATTTACGAAAAAAAATCTTTGTATTTATATCAGTACCCATAACATAATCTTCAGCTAGCTTAACTTTGGTCTAGATGAAGCTGTGTGAATTGTCCTGAGATTACTATTATTACTATAATAAATCTTTTCAAATCAGCCGATGTTTATTTTTGCCATAATACGTGCTGTTACCATGTGATAATATTACGTACGTACTTATTAAACTATTAACTTATTATTAAATTGTTTGTAACGGTCTGGGTGTTTTCTATGTATAGATAATATATATGTATTTACGAAAAAATCTTTGTATTTATATCAGTACCCATAACATAATCTTCAGCTAGCTTAACTTGGGTCTAGATGAAGCTGTATGAATTGTCCTGAGATTACTATTATTATTAATTGGTACACAGGTAAACTACTAACTAGGCCATATTGGTGTTGTTTGTTATGGTGAAAAAACTAGTAGGTATATATATAAGTTACACGTACAATTTCAAAGACTTATTTCTTGAAAACTACTGGCTATTCTGAAATAAAACTTTAGTGTTTGTATATGTAATGTTTGCATATAAAATATGATTAAAGGTTACCAGTGTATTTACACTTCTACTGAACAAACAGAGTTGTTTAATACTGAAAATATTGTGTGGAAGGCATCAATTACTTTCAGTGCATGTATAGCTTTTCTCTTTTCCTAATTATTATTATTATTAAGTTTAAAGTGGTTGAATTTTACGTAAGGGGTTTTTATACATTATTTCTAATGTACCATTTATTTTAAGTTTTTTAAACTCTATTCATCGAGACCTATCTAATGAGTCCAAACACGATATTTCTGCTGTAAGTTTTCGAAGAGTATGTTCATCATCTGATAATACTGGTGCCAGCATGAAGTCAAGGTTAACAGATAACTAATTACTTTTATTTCGTCAAAATCTTTAGATTACGTATAATAAATTCATAATATCGCTACCTATTCAAATCAAAACAAGTATTAGGTACTTCATGTACTAGTATATAAATTAATCAACACACAAGTAAATGATTTTTAAATATATTCAGAGCCAAAAAATCTTTGTGCATTTAAAAAAAATGCCGATACGGATTCACTATTGCAGGAAATTGTTGAAAAAATATATATCGAGTATAAGTATCTACTACTATCGACGAATACATTTGGCAACAACGCATGGTCTCGGCCGGAACGGCAACATCGCATATTAGAATACAAAGATAGTGATAGAAAGAGAGAGACAGTGGATCAACAATATCTACGGATCGTGGCTGGATCAACTAAGTGTGCAAGTGTATATAATATATATATATATATATATATACATTTGTCTTTAATTCAAAGGAAATATAAATAATGAACGCATCACATTTAAAACAGTATAAATAGTTAATAATTTAATAATAAGTTAATAGTTTAATAAGTACGTACGTAATATTATCACATGGTAACAGCACGTATTATGGCAAAAATAAACATCGGCTGATTTGAAAAGATTTATTATAGTAATAATAGTAATCTCAGGACAATTCACACAGCTTCATCTAGACCAAAGTTAAGCTAGCTGAAGATTATGTTATGGGTACTGATATAAATACAAAGATTTTTTTTCGTAAATACATATATATTATCTATACATAGAAAACACCCAGACCGTTACAAACAATCATACTCATGAATACAAATGTTTGCAGCGTGCGAGGAATCGAACCCTCGACCACCAAGCAGGAATCAAAGCAGTGTGCTAGCTAAATCGCTAGACTACCGACAACTAGCTGTACACGCGACTTCGTCCGCGTGGAATTTAACTTCTTATATTTTAGAAAAATAAAGTTAAATTCAACACGGACGAAATCCCGTGTACAGCTAGTCATCAATAAAAAAACACGTAGGTACCTCTAATATATTATACACTAGCTGTTCCCGCGACTTCGTCCACGTGGTTTTTAACTTTATTTTTCTAAAATAAAAGTAGCCTAAGTTACTCCTTATTACATCAGCTACCTGCCAAAAAAAGTCCCGTCAAAATCGGTCCAGCCATTTCAGAGATTAGCCGGAACAAACAGACAGACAGACTAAAATTATAAAAATAGTTATTTTGGTATATGTACCTTATATATATTCATATGCATGTAGTAAAAAACGGTTTTTTCAATATTACAAACAGACACTCCAATTTTTATTAAATGTATAGATGTATAGATTATTATTTATTTATTTATTTATTTATTCATCCAAAATAATACAAATTGTGTAGGATAACGTAATAGTAACATTACAGTAAAATTTTGTCAATAACATAATAGCAACTTAAACATTAAATCTCGGTATATCTATAGACTAGCTGGCCCCAGCGACTTCGTCCGCGTGAAATTAAAAAATAAAATAATTTTTCTAAAATAACAGTAGCGTAAGTTACTCCTTATTACATCAGCTACTTGCCAAAAAAAGTCCCGTCAAAATCGGTCCAGCTATTTCAGAGATTAGCCGCAACAAACAGACAGACAGACAGACTGTACTATGCTATACTATGTATTGATTGATATACCTAAAATAAATATAATATCTGAGGTTTGAACAAAAACTCAAAGGGTAATTTATTTTGAAAAAGTATTTTGAAAATACCTATTTTGCTTTTAGTGTTATAGTACTTTAACTGTTATGTTTTAAGTAACAATGTTTAATTATAATTAATACTACTGCACCAACACTCCGATCGTGCAAAAAATTTAGCTGTTTCATTATTTTTTAGTTCAATTAGTGGTCTACCTAAGTCCTGGGCTAAGGGGGGGGAGAGTCATGACCCCCCATGACTCCCAAGACCTCCATGACGCTCCCCCCTGGATCCGCCGTTACGTCTTCTCTTCATTCGCTCAGTAACGTTGTTACAAAAGGAAAAATTCCCGTCCAAAAAATAACAAGTATTGAGGTTTGATCTGGAGTCACGTTACTCCAGACTGATTTCTATAAATATTTAGATTAGGTAGACTATTATTTTTGAAATACTAGCTAGACATTATTAAGTTACTGTAGCCATAATGTAGTAGCCCAAACGTGCCAATGAGGAAGCCCTTGGCAAATGCTGCACCCTGATTGGCCCGTTTGAATTGGATCAAGAAGTGGTCGTATGCCAAAAAGGTGGATTTGTATAAAATCGTGTATAAATCGCTTAATTATTATTATTACTCGTCGTGACAGTTGTGGCTCAAAACGGATCAACATTTATATATGGTCATCTGGCATTAGATCAACAAAAGGCCTCCGGATCAACAAGTGAAAAAGGATCAACAAAAAACTACCTATACGGCACGTCTGAGCCACAAAGTGCCCAAGGGGATATTTATATATATATATATATATATATATATATATATATATATATATATCGGACGATAGGGATCAATGGAAGATGACAGTCTACGTCGACCACAAATAATGCGATAAAGGCAAGGCAATTATGAATATTATTAAAATATACTTTGTGCAAAGTTACGTCAACGCGTATAATTTCATCATAATCATAATCTCCCAAATTTGTGTTTAAATGAATCCTTATTATTGTATATACGTACAAAATTTATTTAAAAAAAAATACGAGCTGAGTTTCTTGTCAGTTCTTCTCATCTCGAAATCATTCCGAACTGACGGTAGATTTGACATATCATATGAGTCTGTAATAGACCTACATGAATAAAAATATTTTGAATCTGAATACATCTATCTATATAAGTATTATTATTTTTTTATATGTGTGCTAAAATGAAAAAAAAACATAATTTATCTATCTATCTACCTTTCCTACTTCAGCCCGAGAGCAGCATGATGTCAGGGCAGTTAAAGTATTTGCCCAGATTGGCTAAGTGACCTGACCTCATGGTTATCTTATCATCCCCACTGGTGCCCCGCCAGAGTAACGCGTTATCGCTAACGGTGGGTGCACCATTTTATTATCATCCATAAGAAAGAAAAGAATGCCTTCCCCACGCATTCTGACGTCACCTCAGAGTGTAAACCATACCGACACATGTCAAGGAAGCTGTCCGTCATACTCTTGAACGGGTGTTGCTTGTGGGGACTGGTCTGTTCGGGTTACGAACACTGATTACACTAATTGCTTTTATGCTGGTGGTCACTCTATTCTCCCAAATTTGAATTTAAAAATTAATCTGTATTATAGTAAACATCTACAACATTTATTTGAAAAGAATACGACCTGAGTTTCTTGTCAGTTCTTCTCATCTCGAAATAATTCCAAACTGACGGTAGTTTTGACATATCAAGTCAAATCTACCGTCTGAGTCTGTAATAGACCTACATGAATAAGATATTTTGAATTTAAAAACATGTACTCGCCTGTGAAACGTATTTTCTAACTGAGTATGCTGCAGCCACTGCCGGTGTGTTGATTGAGCTGGAATCTTCGTTTGCTACCAGCAATTTGTGTCCTGTTCAAACAAGTAATAATTTAGTTACAACAACAACAACAAGAAATGAAATAGTATTAATGTAGCAAAGGATTAAAGAAAACACGCACGTTTCTTGCTCGTTCTGCTTGTAATGAGACAGTTTTCCAAATGAGCGATAGATTAAAAATAAATACAAAACTGCTTGTACTTTGCTTTTGTGCAAAATTTGAATAATGGATTTTCTATTCCATTAAAGAAAACAGATGGAGAAAAATATTGGGATACTTGATATTATACAACTAACTTATGAACAATATTATCGAGGGATAAATAGAAAATAAGAAGGGAAGGGGAAAACTAAGACCAAATCAAGGAAAAAGTTGAAGTCGCGATGTATAGCAACATTGGTGCTTTAATTTATATGGCAAAACAACGTTAGCCAGGTCAGCTAGTGAATAAATAATAATAATAATACTGGACAATTCACAAAACATTATGGGTACTAGACAAATTATTTAAAAATGTAGATATTTTTTTTCTCCTGTAAATCATCATCAGAGAGAATGGTTTTGGCTTCAGTTTTTTTTTTATGACCGGCCGCCTGCCTGACGTCAACCCTCCTTGGGAATAGTAGGTAATAGTTTTTTTCTCCTGTAAATACAAACATAATATACAAGATAACACCTGGACCGATACAAACAATCATACTCATGAATACAAATGTTTGTAACGCGCGAGGAATCGAACCCTCCATCGGAAATTAAGCTCTGTACCAAACCGCTAGACTACCGAGGCCGTCAAATAAATATAAATACCCTTGTTATCCATCTGCAGCCAGTTGAGCACCGGGCCGCAGTTGATGGAGTCATCGGCTATGATCGACAGATGGTGGACGTAGTCTGATATCAGCTGGTTGTACTCCAGCTCGTCCTGCAGCAGGGACGGGCCGATCTTCTCCGCGAGGTTCGGCAGTCCAGACACCTTACGGTCGTATATACATCTACAACAAAAATAAAAATAATTTAGAATTTTAAATGTTCAGCACGAGAGACAGTATAGAAGTTTAACCAAAATCATGTTTGTAATAACTACTAAAATATTTCTTTCTTATATAAATAAATTACTAATTACATTGGTAGTCGCCAGAATTGACATCAGTATGTCTTTTATCTTAAGGCTTATATCTAAGAGTCTATCTATCTAACTTCTATCTAAGAGTAATTCAAGAGGAAGGTTTATATATATAACACATGTACACCCGTGCAAAGCCGAGGAGAGTAGTAGTACATAAAATAACAATGAGGTACACGATAATATAGAAATCCTAAACAGATTTTTTTTTATGTGTTGTATATATTTTCATAACTGAAAATTGCATGCACTTTCTGAAAACTTGTTTATTCGAAATTACAAACAGATACTTCAATTTTATTTAGATACTAGCTGTGCCTGTGACTTCGTCCGCGTGGAATAGTATTTTGAATAGCAATTTTTAATTATTTAATCTAATTATAAAATCCCAAAGAAAAAAGTAACATCGTTCTAGCTTCAAAAATTATAAACTTTCATCCCCTATTTTATTTTAATGGGTAACATTTTTACAAAGTGATTGTCATATTTATTTATATTTATTTAATCAACAACCGAAAAAATAAGTTTCTAATTTCTAGCTATGAAACGATACTTCCATACACCCGTTCATCTCCGCTTACAACCCTCTTTCGCATTAAAAAGTAGCCTGTATCCGTTTTCAGGGTAGACCCTGAAAACGGACTATCTGTGTACAAAATTTCACTTAAATCGATTTAGTAATTTGAGTGAAAAATTGTGGCGCTAAAAAAACTATGCACCTGTGCAGCATATCGTCCAGTTGTAGGAAGTTGTCCTTGTTCCTGGTGAGGGTCCACTCCCTCACGTCCGAGGCCTCCGTCCAGCTGCCGGTCAGCCGGGACTCCGTGGACTCGTCGCTCGAGGAGTTCACGTGAGAGCGGACCTTAAGGCACACCCAACCTGCACACACACGATACATTAATATTTGATCAAATCAAATGAAATCAAAAATAATTTATTCATGTAGGACATTGTAGCCGCTTATGCACGTCAAGTTTTTGGTATTAATATTTTTTCCCTACTTACCTACGTTTTTGTACTTAATCATTACATTTATATGCTCAAATGGCTCTGTTTTAAAATATATTTTTAAATATAAATTTTGTGAAGATAAATAAATATTATTATTACAATTTCAGTGGTTTTGCAGTGTAGTACAGCCTTCTTCCGATGGTCGGGAGTTCGATACGTAGATAAATGGAAACATTTGAATAGAAAGATGGATCTTTATGCGATTAAAATTGAAATAAGCCCTTTTGAATATTCATATTATTTTTATTTTATTTCGGAACGCAGACTCATCACAAGAAGAATGAGGAAGAAACTTCTGTGTTGCTCTTTTAAATAAATATTGTACAGAATTACATTTTTAGAATTATGATATTTATGTTCATAAGTATGATTGTATGTATTTTTGGGTGTTTCTTATGTATAATATTTAGGTATCATGAGTTGTCTAGTACCCATAACACAAGTTTTAGCTGGAATTGTCCTGAGATTATTATTATTATAAACTAAATGTGAAAGTACACATGTATTTATTTCATTTGGAACACTAAGGTTATTTACAAACACTTTAATAAATATTATTAAATCAGAGAGGCCACTTACAGTTTGTCACAGGGCGAAACAAGATAGATTTTTTTATTTATTGTTATATATTTTTATTGTTTGTAGTATTATTTACCTTCGGTGGGATCTGCGGCTTGCTCCTCGCAGGGCACCGTCTGCACGGAGAGTCCTCCCAGCGACACGCGCTCGTAGTGGAAGTGCGCGCACTCCTCCAACTTCGGGAAGCGACATGCCGGCGCCGGTGCAGGCTAAAGTAAACAATTAACAAAAAAATAATTATGTAGTTGTATATATTTTTTTATGGATGATAGTGGAATGGTCCACCTGCGTGCGCTAACGGTTTACGCTGGCGGGCATCACCCATCACCCATCGTGATAAATTCACCAAGAATCGATATACTACACAAAACATAAACCAAAAAGCTTACTGTCTATAGTGCTCATGCACATACATTTTTCTCCCGCGTACAGTTCCAAAGACTACAGCGTGGTGTTCTCAGAAGAGTTTTTTTTTTCGGACTACTCTAGTGTGTGGTGACACATAAATCCCCTCCGATCGATCCCCCGTTCAATTCAAACGGGGATCTAAATTACGACGGTTTGAGCCGAGGTTTGAAACCCTAGCGATCCCTTAGACTGAAGTCGTATTCGTCAGGCGAGAGTTAGCCTTCAGACAACGAGTGCAGATGGCACTCCCATCTGCACTCGCCCCCTTCGTCCGGTGAAGCTATAAAGGCCAGCTGCAGCCAACAGCATTAGAGTAGTCCGGAAAAAAAAGGGTGAGGTTTACCACTTCCCCTCCAAAAGGCTATCAACTTATTTAGAATAGAATAGAATAGAAAATCATTTATTCAAATAAACTTAATTTAAGCACTTTTGAATAGTCATAACAATTTGTTTTTTATCTACCACTCGTTCGGAAAGCTGTCTCATCACAAGAAGAACGAGCAAGAAACTTGTGTGTTGCTCTTTTAAATAATCCTTGTAAGTTTACATTTACAAGTCGAAACGTGTGAATACAAACTACCAACAAGCACTAATTTTTTGGGTCAAATATAATCATGCAATAAGATTAAATCAGTCGTAGTGATAAGAGCAGACCAGTCCCTACAAGCAGCACTCGTTCACGAGTATGACGGATGAGCCAGCCATCACTGCGCTCGACCATATTTTAGGGAGCCCATTGACCCGGCCCACCACGCCGCCACATGTCTGGACATTTTAGTGAGCATGACTACTCATTCCACACGACCACAGCTACAAAAATTACTATATGGTAGTTACAGTATTCGCACTTTACATACATTTCCCAATCCAATCACATAAAAAACAATGTTAACTAACCGTTTCAGCCAAATCGAATGTGACAGAGGACGGGGGCGCCGACTGGCTCATCGACGAGCTCTGGGAGACAGGCGTCACGGCCAGCGCCGTCAGCGATATCGACCCTGCAAATATTAATATATTAAATTAACTACTAGCTGCACCCGTGACTACGTCCGCGTAGAATTTAACTTTTTCTAAAATAAAAGTAGCCTACGTTACTCCATATTACATCAGCTATCTACCAATAAAAGTCCCGTCAAAATAGGTCCACCTTTTCAGAGATTAGCCAGAACAAACAGACAGACAGACAAAAATTGTAAAAAATGTTATTTTGCTGTATATGCCATATTTATATTCATATGCATGTATTAAAAAACTGTTATTTCAATATTACAAACAGACACTCCAATTTTGTTTATATGTATAGATTACCACTTGCAGCGCCGTCAGCTTGTTTGCCATTCCAAATATAAAAAAAATCGCTTAAAAGTTATGGCATTTGTTCATTAGAAATAGGAAGAGATTATTTCTTCTTAAAAGGCCGGCAACGCACTTGCAATTCCCCTGGTGTTGCGGGTGCTCATGGGCGGCGGTAATAACCTACCAACAGGTGAGCCTCAAGCTTGTCTTTGTCCCCTATGCTATAAAAAATAAATCTAAATCACTATATAGATACTATAATTTGTTTACCTGTCGCCTCTCGTTTACAATCTTGATCATTGTTGCTTGTTCTGGTAGAGCTTCTCGAGTCTGAACTGAATCTGACCGATCTGTAAAACAAATACAGTTAACATTAAAAAAACAACGTAGGTACATAATATACATAAAAAGCACCCAGACTCATACAAACAATTATACTCAAACAGATATTTGTACCGAGCGAGGAATCGAACCCGCGATCATAAGTAATGCGTTGTGCTAAACCGTTAGACCACTGAGACCGTCTGGTCAACATTGTCTTCTTGGTAGGAAATTGACGATAGTTGACCATCGAGGTTGTGGCTGACTATATTCTTAGTAGAAAATTAACGATAGTTACCTGTGCAGTCCGGCGGTGGCACAGTGCGTCATGTTCTCCTTGTCAGGCTCTGTGAAGGCGCGAGCCGCCAGTGACTGGCATGACATCACAGACCCGTGTGGGGAGCCCTGGTGGAGAAGACAGAGAACCACTATTAGTAACCAGTATCATACACACGGGAGGTCCAGTGAGGATCTATATAATGAAACAATACGTCCGCTTGTGCTAACCATATACGCTGGCGGGGCACCAGTGGAGGATAAGATGAGCATGTGATCAGGTCAGTTAGTTCATCTTGGCAAATGACAATTTACCACGATGGTTCCCAGGAGGAACCGCGTGGTGGTCAACGTGGCATGATATATTGCTGGCAACAGGGTTATTAGTCCACATTACTAACAAACCCCGTGTCCCTCAGTGAGAACTATATCTTTACCATCCAGGGAGATGGTTTCCAGGAAGAATCAATGGGGTCAACAGTCCACATTACTAGCAATCCCTTTCCCTCATCGACTGGTATTGTACAAAGTTCTCACTGAGGGTTCATCCAGTGTCATGTCAGTAATGGGGACTGTTAACCCTATTGCTAGCAATGTGCCATGTCAGCCAGATCTCCACGAGGTTCCATTGGAAACCATCGTAATAAATTCCTTTGAATTATTACGATGGTTTCCAATGGAACCTGGATGGAAATGGAATAAATGTGAATTTGCCATGATGGGCGACTGACCTGACTTCATCAATATTATTATTCTGCACTAATAAACTGAAACTTTACAATTCTACTTGAATTTGAAGTTAATGTAAATTTCACACATTACATTCTATTTTTTTTATTTCCATAGCCTACTCTATTGGCCGATATTAAGCAGTGCCTTCCTGACCGGGTTGGCGCGTATTCAATTCTGTACCCAATCTGTACTTAAAAAAGATTCTAGTGCATAAAAAACAGAGCTTCCTAAGTCGTCACGGTACAGATTCTCTTTATATCAATACATACGCATATACATGGGATTAATCCGCCAAATATACTTTCTGTATTAAAGTCATATAAATATCTAAACGCATATTTATACCCACTCAGAAAGACATCTTATACTATGAAACATTACAATGTTTGTTTTAAGTTAAACACAAGCAGACAAATAGACAAGCACATATATAAATCATTAACTTGGAAGATGGATGTGCATCTAAAACTGTTTGTTTTGAACAATAAACCACCTCTAAAAACCATGTATTGAAGAAACTACAAATAATCGATCTTATCTTATTCGATTTTTAAATTGTTTCATCTATATAAAATCACATTAAGCTTCTTGCCAAAAGGTTAAAAAAATCACATTAGAGTGACATAGACTGTATAGTAATTACATCCATGCAAAATCAGAGTAAGTAGTAGTAGATAGTAACATAAAGATCTATTCAGATTTTACTCGAAAGCGCTGACAATCATCGAATACCATACCATAGAGCGCCACGCTGGTCACAAAATCTAAATACTCAAGTTTATCGTAACATAGATAAACTCAAGTGGCATGAAGTGTTTACGACAGTTTAACGACTTTTTACGTTATCTCGAGTGGTACTTAACCGACTGTGGCAAAAACTGCGTATGTAATATAGTTGAAACAGTTGTATATGGTTTAATATGTCACAATCACTGTTTTCTTTCCAACTACTCTAATGCTTGGTCGCAACTGGCCTTTACAGCTTTGTCGAAAGATACGGGGCGAGTGCAGATGGCACTCCAAACCCGTTTAAAATTTTTGCTAGTTAATATATTAGTTTAGACAGGAATTTCAGGATTACATCGACATATTATTATGTACCAATAATTTAGAACTAATAACGAAACAAGTTTCAAATATTGTAAGAGTTGAATGTTATTATATATCGACATGTGAACGTGTACAAAAAAACAGCCAATGATGTAAAAGTCAATTACACGCAACAAATAAAAATGGCGCGAAACGCATATTTTGAAAATAAAACAAGCAAATTTTGACATAAAATTTTTTTTTGTTCGTTTTTTACTGTCATAGAAAGGCAAAAGGACTCAGCCCATATATCCATTGTCTTTGGTAGTATTCTCATATTATATTTCCTTCAAATGTTGATATTACCTACTCAAGTATATATTTATGTTTCTAGCTCTTCAATAAATTCTGTATGAAGTGTGGATCCATGTTATGATATATTTTGATGAATTTATCAATAAATATTAATGGCAATACGAAATGTTTGTAATCAAGGAACAAGTGATGCAGTGATTGATCTTCATCGGCCGAACAAAAATCACATGTAGGAGACAAAACCATTTTCGTTATATGCAAATGCTTCTTATATTTTCTATGAATGGACCATAACTAATTAGGTGTCTACTACTAAAATGTTTAAATATTTCAATTTTTTATTCTGTATTCGAATATTTATGTTCGTGTGAGATGTAGATGCCAGTGGTCGAGGTTGCCCTCCCAGATCACAGCACGCTTACGCCAGTAATATTTTTATGCGGCATAAAACAACGAAGTAGGTTAACTGCTGTCTCTATGCGAGACAGAATTTATAATTTTACTACTTTTGTACAACTGTGCAGTGATATATCGCTTCCGTCTAGTCGGATATCAACATCTCAAATAATAATAACATTTTTATTCGATTGTTCAACCAGATTTATTGCAGATAATAAAAAAAAAGTCAGCGAGATCAAGGAGAAACTATTATTCGTCTGTCAAAAGAATTTTATCTATTCAATAGACCTTTTTTAAGAGTCTCGAATAACCCTAAAATAGTCATTACGCTTATATACTTTTTAAATTCCCATAAAATGTCTTATGTGTCAAAGTTTACATTACAAATTGCCCAAAACAATAAAGCTGAGGAAGAAGTATTATTTTCCGTCCATATTCTAAATACACAGATAACCTACACCTAAAAGAACAGATTCCTTTAACAAATCTGCTAAAGACTTGATGAGCCGATGGCAAGATATGATTTTTTGTAGTGGATGTAATGGCGCATCCACCTGCGTTAGTATACGCTGGTGGAGACCAGTGAAACACAATAGGATGCGCATGAAGTCAGGTCATCATAACAAATTCATTAGGAATAACCACTACTTCCAGCGTCAACCACGCGGAAGTCAAACTGAACATGGTACATTAATACCGATGGGGCCAGTAGTGCCACATTACTAACAACTTCTCTTTCCAACTATAATAATAATTACCAAAACCGGCGAAAGCCAAGAAAAAATAATAATCTCAGAACAATTCACACAGCGCCGTCTAGACCTAAGTCAAGCTACCTAAAGCTTGTGTTATGGATACAGATAACTGAAACGAATATATAGATTTTTTTTCTTAAATTAATACATATATATAAATAGAAAACACTCTGTGTGTGACACAAACAATTATACACATGTTTGTGCAGTGCGAGGAATCGAACCCGCGACCATCGGAAGGAAGGCGGTGTGTTAAACCGCTAGACCACCGAGGCCGTCAAACTATACTACACCATAATTGATTTGTAGTACCATTTGAACTATGTTCATGACCTTAGTCGTAACGTACCTCATTAAATAAAGTCTCCAGTTCAACTCTCGCATTAATTAATAAAACGTACATTTCTATATTGACATTCATATTATGTTTAATTGTATAAAACGTTTGCTGACTATTCTCATTTGAAAGACATTGAAATTTATTTTAAGATAATGTTTGACACATCATTTCAATTTTTTTATTTTTTATATTGAGGTATTTTGGCAATTGCCTGGTTTCAGTCCTGTAGCACTGCGACATACCGAGATCTATAGTGCTCGCCTTTTTTTGTTTAGCAAGCTTCGCTACCTATCTCTTCGGAGATATGGTCGGCTACACATACGATGTCTAATAGCATTTCCTCTTCCACTTGGTAAAATCTACAAGTTTTTGTTAAGCCATACAACAGAGCCGGCACTGTACGCACGTGGATTCAGCACGGAATGCAAAGAAGTTTAACTCTTTTAAATGATACGCGTACATGCGTACAAAACCCATACCCGTCATTGAAATATGTGATCTCATGGCTTTACGTCTTTAATGGTTCCGCTTTATTATATGAACTATAAAATTAAACTATAAATTTAATGGCAACTATTGCTGTAACACTGCTATAGCTTTTACTTATTTCTTTGTGAAAGTTGGTCGTTAAACGCGTATTATTGTTTCCGTCACCAGTGTTTGTCAACCGACTTCAAATTGGAGGAAATTTAATCGACTGCATTTTATGTATAATTACGAATATATCGTTAGCACAGAGGGATGCATCAAACCATATTCTTTTAACAACTCAATTTACTAAATTCAAAAAAAAACTCAATCTGCACTTGAAACTATCGTGGTTCTGATGAAAAAACTGACTTTACCGCTGTGTTATCTTTCATTGATGACTGGAAATAGAGAGTTCTCGCTCTCTATCTCCAGTCATCAATGAAAGATAACAGAGTGGTAAAGTCAGTTTTGAGGTGTTAGTTAGAAAGTGGTGTAACCATTGTTATAACCAATACATCACCATCATTAAAACGAAAAAGAAGTAGCTTTAATATATCTGTGAGGTAGAAGAAGATTGCTAAGGTAATACAGACTGATAAACCCATTCCTAGCAATGTACCATGTCAGGATGACCTCCACACAGTTCCCTCTGGAAACCATCGTGATAAATTTTGCCAAGACCGGCTAACTGACCTGACTTCATGCTCATATTATCATCCACTGGTGCCTCGCCAGTGTAAACCGTTGGCACAGGTTGGAGCACCATTATTATGAATTAAAATATGTATGTGACATTATATAGAATACATATTTATATAAAATATTAAAATAAATTATGTATGTGTAACATTTGTAAACATGAGTTTATAATTATAACTAATTAATTATTTACATATATTCTGACTCGTAGATCAAAAGGTATAAAACATAGCAATAGGTCAATGACAAATTTAAATTATCTAAAATCAAGCTCATATAAAAGATCTTTATTTATATCTCGTTTTACCAATTGCATGCTTAGGAAATAATTCTAAATTTAAAAACAAACATGCAAAGATTTCATTGTTAATATTTTATACTCATACTTTTATTCATAGACAATCATATATTTTTTTTCTTTCATACATTTTTCATGCATTAAAAACAGTATAAATAGAAATAAATGCAATGTGATCCCAATTTTAATGTATATTTACTGATAAGAACTAAATCTTTGAATCAATATATAATAATTGAAATTATTCAATTTAATTAAAATCATAAATAATGACTTTTTATTATAAATATTTATTTTCAATCTCTTTCACTTAGTATATTTTGATCCAAAGCGGCAGGAGACGTAATTTACCCCCTTCTGTTGTATTTATAGTCTATTTTTTAATCCCGGACACTAAATTGACAGATGTAAATGTCAAATTTTTAAATAATGTTACCAGCTGGTTTTGTTACTGGAGGGATGGAGATTGTTAATAATGTGATCTAATAAGTTCATAGCTAGCAATATACCATGTCAGGTTGACCTCCATTTGTTTCTCCCTGACAGACATTGTGATAAGTTCATGGTGAATTTACCACGATGGGGTAATGGACCTGACATCATGCTCATATCAACCTCAACTGGTGCTCCGCCAGCCTAAATAGTGCAGGAGCATACACCATTCCATTATCGTCCATAAGAACCCATTTATACTATACTTTTGTTTGTTATCAATATTTCCACCATTATAAAGATAACCAGAAGATAAATAGACATCTCATGACTTAGTGGTTTACAAGTTATTTAAGAGAGACATTCATTATCATCTATGTGGTATAGATTAATAAATAAACTTACAATATTCAACATGACAAATTGGTACATAAACTTTAGCAGAAAATAAAAAAAGATTTAACAAACCACAACAAAGACTATAAATGAGTTTATTTTTATAATTATGAATAATTATGCATATATTTTAACTAGAAATAGAGTAGTTAGTAATTTACAGCTAATAATAATTGCTGTAACCAAATACAGCCACTAAGCAACATATAGATCTTAATAATAATATTATAAATGCAAAAGTTTGTGAGTATGGATGTTTGTTACTCTTTCACGCAAAAACTACTAGAGGGATTTTGATGAAATTATACAATAATATAGCTTATACATCATAATAATATATAGGCTATGATTTACAAGGATATTATGCAAATCAGGTGAAATATAATGATAAATGTTGCAGATGAAGTTGCGTTGCAGCTAATATATAGTAGAAATGTAACTCAGTATAGTTAAAAATCATTATTGGAAACTCCATCAGTGCTATATAACCTAAAATAAAGATTATGAAACAGCTTAACCAATTTGAGGGTGAAACTCACCATTGCATATTGTAGTAAATTTCATTTAACATTTAGTGTTTGTTTTAATTCAAAAGCTATATGAGTAGGAAGTTGTAGACCGTTTGTTAATATTATTTTTTATGAGACTTAGCAGCCATATTAGAATTGAACTAAAGTTGTATGTTGTTGTATTAAACATATGAATCTAAGTTGTAATAGTACTAATAATGAAGAGTGTAATGCAAAATGAATATTTGGGAACAATTGCTTGCAAATAGACCAGGCATTGTATAAATAAAAGTGAATTGTCCACTCCATAACTACTGGACATTATAGTATTGCTACAGGCATAGATATATGAATGAGCAACATATATTATTTTACTAATGTAGTTTATAAGTTGCACTCTAACAATATGGATGAACATACATTTTTTTTATATCCATATCTTGCAATTGGCTGACCAAGCCTATAGCAGATTTGTTGGGGGAATCTATTGTGGAATCTGAGAGGAAACTGTCTCACTTTACATGAGACAGTTATCCAGAATATTTGAAATAAATAAATAAAATAATAAATACCTACTTAAGTATTTAATTAAATAAAATATTATTAATAAAAAAAAAATATTCCTATAATAAAAACAATCCTAACAGTAACCAGATACAGTAAGCATTGGGAACACATTGCATACAGCTTAAAAAGCTTTTTTATATATCATGGCTTTATGACATGACCACTCATAGAAGTGAAAAAAAAAAGGAAATCAAATTAGAAACATACAGACAACATCTAGTGATGGACAGCTACGGCTAGAGCCTCACATTCTGTCCGCAGAGTAACCAGCTGTCGGAGCACACGCCAAACACTCGCCTCATTGTATCCAACTAATTATAACCAATTTCACTATCAAAAGTGCCATTTAGACAATTTTCACTTAGACACAATTTTACACTTATTATACCTTCAAACATAGACAATATTTTTATTTTAAAAACGTTATTTAAAAAAAGCAAATCATTACAAATGTTCGAAATTCAAAAACAGAATCTAAAATGGCACTATTTCTTTGGCATCTCTATTATATCCACAAAATCTTCGTCACAAAGGTTGTTTGGGTACAAAATTACTGATTTAGAATTATTTTGGCACTGTATTTTGGTACACAGAAAAACATTTCCACTAGTATTACACCGACAAGTTAACAAAATTAGTTTCGAAAGCGAATTTTCGCAAAACAAACGAACGCAACAGATTCACGGTCCAGCGACTGCAACTGAGATACGAGCGAAAATTAGTGAAAAAAGCCACTGCTGCATTGCATTTCGACACTAAAAACAATATTTACGCTATAACTGGGGCTACAAAACAAAAATAGGCGAACGAGTTCCACGGTTCCGAGATGCGCACTGAACAACGTCTATAAACATAATAAACAACAACTCGAGGTTATTTCGTGTCGCGCCTCGTAAATATGTCGATAAAATAATAAAACTAAGAGTGAATTAATTCAGTAAAAAGCTTTCTTTCTGTTTTATATACAAATAATAGCAAATAACTCAAGAATTGTAATTCGATTTGACAGTAGTCACCCCGCCCGCCCCCCAGCCCGAATCAGTCAGCGGTCGATGTAGTGTTGCTACCGCGGGAATTTACCCCGACAACGTGGAATAATTTGTATCAGATTACTATCTTTTGCTTAATATATTGTAATAGTTAACGAATTGAGTATAAGCAGAACACTATGATAAATATTTAATTTCCTTTCTGTCTTAGCATTTTTTTAAATAATAAGATGTATTTACAAAAAGAAATGTATTTATACTACTTGTCTAGTAACCCACAACACAATATTGGAACAAGATGGCGCTGTGTGAATTATCCTGAGATATTATTATTATTCTTCCACGATAACGGGGTTCATGTAGTCTCGTTAATTTTTAAATAATAAAATCTATAACCGTATATAATGTGCAATGCATAAATAAATAATTAATGGTAGGGCTATAATCTCTTATACCCTATTATACACTCTTATATATATTGCGAAAAGTACTAATAACTGTGTAGACTATACTACAGTAACTTTAACCACTGTTTTATATATATTACGCAATACAAAATGCCACACACAAACAGAATTCCATGAAACAATAATATATATACCTATAGTTCGATATTTATATAATAATTAATTTATGATTCAGAAAAGTATAATAATACCATTTTATGAGGACAAATTATTTAGGACAGAATAATTAAATATATTTATTTTATAATTTATACACCACAGATAATAGTGTCAAAATGGATGGCCGAAACGTAATGGTAATTACAATATATACTTACACTTTTGTTTCAGCTACACTAACAAAGACTACTACTTTTCTTTTACTTGGAGAAAATCCATATGGCTTATTTCGGGAGTAATACATAATAAATTTAAAGTAATGAACGATTTACTTAAAATATCTTCATTCATATAACTCCACAACAAATACTATTTTTTTATGGATGATAACGGAATGATGCACCCGCCTACGCTAATGGTATACGTTGTCGGGGTACTAGCGTAGTATAGATAAGATGAGCATGAGGTCAAGTCAGTTGGACCATCGTGGCGAATTCACCAGGTATTTATCATGATGGTGTCCAGGCGTGAAGCCCACCCTGACATGGTATATTGCTAGCAAGGGGTTATTAGTCCACATTACTAACAATACCCTGTTCTATTCAAACAGGGAAGTAAATACGACCGTCTACATAAATCCTTATTGTTGCCTAGTCTTTATTTCATTATTTGGTGCTCCACCAGTGTAGTGTAGTGTAGTTAGCGTAAGAGGTGACCATTCCATTATCATGCAAAAAAAAAAAAATTAAATAGGACAGGAGATAGAAGATTGATGACGTTTGTCATTGTTCTTTATCAGATACCCGGAAGCTTTTATGGAATATGTGACGTCGATTGCGACAGAAGAATTCCCGTATATCACAAAGTATAAATAGAGAGAATAAAAAGGTTGCGTCATCCCCGATGGTTCATTAGCCAAAACACAAGTGACTCGTGAAATCGACCAGAAAATGTTGATTTTAATATATGATTAACTGTTCTATTGTAAATACTGTCGACAAACACTAATAAAAGATAGCGCTAGACTGTTCTTCTACCTACCACAGTGACTTCATATGATCTACAAAATTTATATAAGCTAAGTGTTCTGTATGGATAACGATGTACTTTTTTATTTATTTATTCAATTCAGGCTACTAATGGGCCATATTATATATGTATTTAAACATAATATAATAGTATAATTGTCTCTGTGATAACGGCACTGACGACGGCAATCTGCTATGGTAGCGCCGATATACCACTCTCTTCGGCCATGACATTGAGGATCACGCAGCTAGACACGAATCCAGTTGTGTCATACCCACCTTCGTGAAGGAGGACTGGTGGCCGAAGTGGGTGGTGTGGCTATTGCCGTCGATAGTGCCGTGACCGCAGAGACACTTTTATATTAGTAGTATATTTTAAAGTCTGTGGTTAAATTGAGAATAGATTATTATTGTTTATCTTTTATATTTGGGTACTTATGTCCGAATTTCGAACACTGGGCGACCACTAGTTATACTAAAATGAAATACAACACTGAATTCATACTCTAATAATAAAGCAAGTAAAATGGAACCAAATAAACAGAATACAAATTAATAATATTTAAATGTGACCTACTTAAAACATGTGCACAAGTATGTTTCATCAGAGTCGAGTGAATCATGATTTATATTTTGATTTTCCCATTATAAGAGATGTCATAGGGCACTAAAGTCAAATATGATTATATATTAAATCGTTTAATTCAACTAACCCACATGAAAAACAATCAACACAGTCTAAATTCATAACTTTTACAGGAGTGCCTTCAAAGGAGTGTGTACACACAATGAAATTGACTGAGCTACTTATATCCATGATAATGAATATTTTTTATTATAAAAAAAGATGTAAGCATTCTTCAGTATCAGTTCTCTCTCTATTCCGAGACCTTGCGTCCTCTTCACCCAAGCGTGATAGCAATATTTTCAATCAAAATTTTGCCATAAATGGTTTTTAATAGACAGGACCACGGTATTGGCTAGTCTATTATGATTTTACCCCAGATAATTCGTAAGTTCGCAACAAAACTCTGGCAACGTTATGACGTGACAGCAAGCTATTAAAGTAAAAGCATGAAATTAATTTCCGCTTTCAATGGGACCGACGGAATACAAGTGTTTACTTTTAATATTTTTTATTACAACTTTTATCTACGTAACATTTTTTTTTTTTTTTTTTTTTATTGGGTTGTTTGGGCTATTGTCAGATGTGTAGCACCTGTAGCACTGCGACCTACAAAGATCTATTGTGCTCGCCCTTTTCAGAGTTCGCTACCTAGACCCGTCAGGGACAAGAATTGAAGGATATTCTTAGGAGCGATCGTTTTTATCTCCTCGGGAAAGAGTGTAAACTTTCCAAAGGAGATATTTCGTTTATGCATGAGTGGGCTACAACCACATAGGATGTGAAGCGGCGTTTCCTCTTCAGTTTGGCAGAATCTGCAGATACTAGTCGTGCATAGGCCTAGCTTAGCCATATGCTTGTTCAATTTGCAGTGTCCTGTGAGGGCCCTAGTCATCATGCATATGTTGTTTTTACTCAATAGCAGTAATCGATTGGAGTATTTGGTCGAGAAGCCCGATATAAGGTCTTTTGAATGTATTAATCCTGGCATTTCTTGCCAGTGATTCAGTGCTTCTCGTTTGGTTATTAATTTGAGATGTCCCAGTTTTAGGCAACGAGGCACACCACAGAAGGGTTCGGGGCCCAGTTGGACGGTTTTTGCCCCTAACTTTGCCAGATGGTCGGCATTCTCATTGCCTTCAATATTTGAATGCCCGGGGACCCATCTCAGAATAATATTATTTCTGCTTCCTACTTCATTTAGTAGCAGGATACAGTTTCTAATAAGTTTAGAACGGATTTCGTACGAGTTAAGTGCTAGTAGAGCAGCTTGACTGTCCGAATAAATGTATATGTTCTGATTGATGTAGTTGAGGCTTAGGATTACTTCCAGACATCTAATTAAGGCGTAAGTCTCTGCCTGAAAGATTGAGGCGTATTTTCCTAAGCCTATATAGTTGCAGATTTTGGGTTTTACACCACATATTCCACATCCTACATCATCTCCTATTTTGGACCCGTCTGTAAACCAGACTAGGTCATGCTCTGAGTGAGACGGTGTATGGTTATTTTGCCATTCGTCTCTTCCAGATATTTCGATTTTGTAATATTGTACAAAGTTACACTCTGGTGCCATGTTGTCTTCAGGCATTCCCAGAATAGGATCACTCATAATCGAGTCTTGTATAGTTTTTATGGCCAGGGAATGCCAAGATATCCTCCTTTGGGAACTTATTCTGAGCATATTGGCTTTCGCCTTTTCCTGTATGAATAAAGGAAGGGGCGTCAAGTCCAATAATGCGTCTAGAGCTGCTCCCGGCGTGGTGCTCATGGCTCCTGTAATAATCAGACAAGCAATTCTCTGTAGGCTGTTTAGCTTGGTGGCGGCTGTGGATTGGAGGGTTTTCCTCCACCAGATAGCGCAGGCATAGGTGGTAAGCGGTCTCACCACTGCTGTGTAAAGCCATAGGGCAATTTTGGGGTTGATTCGCCATCTGGGCCCCGCTACCCGTCGGCTTATTCCTAGGGATGTTTTCGCCTTTTGAGTTATGTTGTCTATGTGTGTGTTCCATGTCAGTTTTTGGTCGAAGGTTACGCCCAGGTACTTGACTTCTTTGGAGCACTCTAATATTCTTCCATTTACTTTAGGCATGACAAGTTTGTCAAGTTTCTTCCTTTTTGTAAACGGAACAATTACTG